ATTGCCATCTGAACAAGTACAAGTCTGCCACGTTTGTTCTGACCAACTGTCTTTATGATTTCAATTTCTGTACAGTCTAATCTAATTGTCATACACTTCAAATTTCATATTAAGAAATTCTTTTAACCCAAAAAGCAAATTATGCTCCCTTCGAACTGGTTTTCTTTAAAATACAAATCTTTGTAATCCCAGGCTATCTGTAATCAGAAGCACATTTATAACTGGAATATAATTTAATTTCATTCACATGTGTTTCATAAACACATAATCCTTTCTGGATTACAATCCGCCATCAAAATGATACATTTAATTATTATGGCTGCTGTGAGAAAAGACTATAAACGACCCACCACCTGCAGGATCCTCACATGCGATAGCCTATAGCCGGAACAACTTCTTTATGTTTACAGACGTGACGTAATGACGCAGCAGCATGCTCGAATTTCCCGTGAAAACCTACCCGTACCACTCAAATTAGAAAACATTATTATAAGCTAACCTTTGTGAATCGGGCTAAAGTAAGGCGATAGTTTTGAACCCTGGCTGGTTATGTACTTGCTCAAATATTGATTTCGGATAATTTTTAACCAAAAAAAGTTACGGACTGCAACTTTAATCCTTGCGACACCAACTCAGAAAACACTAGTTTATTAGTAAATAATTCAAATATCTCCTTACTATTAACCCTTGACATTCATGGTAATTACTTTTGCCGGTGCTTTGCGGCAAGCTTAAGCCTATTGTGTGCATTTAAAAGCAGAACTGTTCAGCTGCGCTGATGGCACGCACCATATACTGCTGCTGCTGCGGGACACTAAACACCGTCGAGCCGCTCTTGACAGTCGCGGTAGCACGGTCTCGTGTTGTTTCCACCAGCGCAGCAATTTTTTTTCATCACTAATTGATGGATGTCTAAAATATAAAAATAAGGAGAAGCCTAAAACAGGCCCAAGGCCCGGCCTGGTCTGACGTGAAAATTGGCCCGAAGCCCGGCCCGAGGGGCGCAAAAAAAGTCGGGCTGAAATGCAGGGCTCTTCTGTTCATGCTCATCGAAACAGCAAAGTCCACTCAAAAATCCAGCCAACAGGAAACATCTATGTAGTGCAGTATTGTTTCTGTTTGCAATAGTACTGTGCTGTAACATGTGTGGTATATGGACAACTCTGGAAACGATGCCCTCTCATTCATTGATCAGCTAGTGCTAACCGCTATGTTATGCGCACGTGTTCTGATAATAATAGCTTTCTAGGACTAAACATTATTTGACAAAAAATCAAAAAAACAAAAAACAACTAAATCTCTCAATATCCCTACTGTTAGACCTACCTGAAAAACTAAAAAGCAATTTATTTCATTTTTAGGCCTATCGTTATTTTTTATTTGTGCTATCATTAGTAGTTTCTTTATTTCTTGTTTTATTACTGACTGCTTACTTGTCATTTTTTATTCAATTCAAAGTTTGAAATTAAGCTATCTCGTGCTACTGCAACAAAATTACCCCACTGTAAAATCAAAAATACAGCGAGTGAGCAAAAATTTGTGAGATTTTAAAACGCATCTGATTACAGCAATGTGGATGTTTGCACGAGCTCTCCAGTAAAGTCCAGTCATGTCACGTTTATTTATTTAGTACCTTATGCAATAGCCTTAAATCAAGCAGCTTTACAATATTAAAAATGAAAAACCAGTCAGTGTCGCTTTCAGTTAGAATTTCAACTTGATTTTCTGTTATAAAGCAGCTCTCCAGTGTGGAACTAGCTAATAATAAAATATTTTTATTAGTGGGGGAAAAAACGTTTAATTAAAGTGATAGTTTGGTTTGCAGAGATCAAAGCTTGATGTAGCTCAGGACTGTTTGATTATCATAACCCTATAAGGTATTTTAAGAGAGATTGTTGTGAATAAAATAGTTTATCCAAAAATAAAACGTCTTATCACTTAACCTTTATTTTGTTTCTTATCCATATGACTTACAAAAAGAGATTTTAGGCAGAATGATGTGTCATTCAGCTACTTTCTCATAGTTACTTAAATGGTGAATAAGAGTTTCTCTGCCATTTCATTTTGTGTGCCAAAATATTTATTTGTATAAATTAATTGTATAAAAAAGCTTTTGTATCAAAAGCTGAAGTGATTACCTTAATTAATTTTTTTAGAATATGTATAACTCAATATTTTAACTAATTGCAAAAGATGAATAATCAAAAAATGTCTACCGATTAATCAGCTAAATAATCGACGATTGGTCGATTAATCGTTCTAATAATCGCTAGATTAATCAATTATCAAAATAATCGTTTGTTGCAGCCCTATTTGGATTCTTCCTTGGGATAGTTCACCCGGAAGGCATCGTTCATGTTGTTCCAAAAACCCATATAATGTTCTTTTTTCTGTGAAACACAACAGAAGATATTTTAAGGGGTGTTTTGACTGTTTTTCTCCATACAGTGAAAGTTGGTGGGAACCAAAACAACATTGAAAAAAAAAAACACTGGGACATTTTTCAAAATATTATGTGTTTATTTGTGTTCTGCAGAAGAAATAAATGCAGGCAGGCTTAGAATGACATGAGGGTGAGTAAATGACAGAATTTTGGGTGGGTGATATAAATATTAATGGAATTTGAATTTTCTGTGTTTTTAAAAGTGCTTCATCGTCTGTCGCCTAGCAGTGTACATTGAGCCATAGCGCTAGTAAACAAATAAATAAAATGAAACGTGTGTGTGTGTGTATATATATATATATATAATTTTTTTTTTTTCAAATATATACATTTTTTTTATTTCTTTGTTTAGTTATTTTTGTTTTAATTGTTCATATTTATTTTTTGTTTTTTTATTTATTTGTTGTAGTGATGTTTTTTATCTTAATTTGTGGGTGTCAGAAAAATCTATTTATTTTTTATTAAAGGGGTCATATGATGCTGCTAAAAAGAACATTATTTTGTGTATTTGGTGTAATGAAATGTGTTTATGCGGTTTAAAGTTAAAAAAACACATTATTTTCCACATACTGTACATTATTGTTTCTCCTCTATGCCCTGCCTTTTTGAAACGCGTCGATTTTTACAAAACTAATCGGTCTGAAAAGCGAGGTGTGCTCTGATTGGCCAACTATCCAGTGCGTTGTGATTGGCCGAATACATCAAGCATGTGACGGAAATGTTACGCCCCTCACCATACTGTGATGATGCCCTGTCCGGCCGGAGCGACGAGACAAAAACATGAAAACCCATTATAAACGAGGCATTTGTTGCATCCAGTGGGGACATAATTACGGATTATAATGACTTACACTGTCTTTTTA